GCCAAAACCGTCTTTTTCTCCTCTTCCAATTCCTTGTTAGTGGTTTCAGCTTTCTTGTAAATCTCCACTAGTTCCTTCTGGAGGCTCTGGTTCTTGACAGAAGATTCTTCGAGTTCATGAGTCAGTCCCTCAAGCTTGTCTCTAGCTTTCTTCAGAAGATCTTTCTCCACTGCAAGTTCGCTAGTCAAAATCTCACCGTTTCGTTTTGCCTCGTCAAGGTTACTTTCATATCTTTCCTTAGCTTTATCAAACTCTGCGTGAACTACAGAGAGCTCTGATTCAAACTTTGAACACAAAGCTCTCGATTCATCAAGCAGCTTTTCCAGGTCAGAGACACGATCTCGAGATGCCTGAAGTGTTTTCTTTGTTCCTTCAAGTTCATGCCTCAAATTTTGTACATTAGTTAGTTCTATATCCAGCATCCTCTTCGAGTCTTCATACTTCTCAGTAAAGTCAACAACTTTCTCTTTATTCTCATTCACATCATTTAGCGCATGATCCAGCTTCTCCTTGAGCTGCAGAATCTCCTGTTCTTTCCTGCTTATGAGCTCCGCATCAGCAGCTGCTCGCGTTTCAGAGGTCGATTGGAAAGCGCTGTAATCTTTTGAAACATCATCAAGCTTTTGGATATAACTCTCTTTCTCATCAACTAAAGTCTTTGTGCTCGTGTTTAACTCCTCAATGGCGGAATTCTTCGAGTCCAATTCAGTCTGGCTTCTTGTGACTTCTTCCTTGAGCTGTTTGATTTCTGATTTTGCTTCAGCAAGATCTCGGACAGTTTGAGTGTAAGTAGAGTTGAGATTCTTCAGCTCTGCTTCTTTTTCAGCCAGTGATGTGCTAATACGTTGAGTTTTTTCTTCATTATCTTTCAGCTCCAAACTAAGCAAGTTGATCCGATCTTGTAGCCCCTCAACCAAATCAAGCTTTTCTCTGAGCTCTGTTTCAAGTGCCTTTTTGTCTTCGCCAGCCTTTGACAGATTATATTGTAGACTTTCGATTTGTACTCTAAGCTCCTTACATAAGTTCTTTTCGCTGCTTAGCTCCCGGCCTAATCCTGCCACTACATTCTTTGCAGAATTCAACTGGTTGATCAATGACAATTGTTCTTCTTTCGACTTTTTTTGTTCCTTGTTCCGCTCTTCCTCCTCACGCTGCAGTCTTGCTTCAATGTCTTTCTCCTTCAAAATTAGAGCTCTTTCTTTGTCTCTCAACTGGTTCTTTAGCTGTAAGTCAAGGTTATCCGTAGCTTAAGAAAAAGAGGATGAAATCCAGCAGAGTATATGTTCATAACCTTCAGAAAGTTAAAGAAGTTCAAACTAAATGATAAAACATTCTGCCACAAGACCTGTAATGAGAGAATTCAAAGGCCAACAAGAGCATTCTGCCACAATTGATAAGCAAATAAAGGCGAGTAGCAGAGTAGCTTACAGATTCGATGGTTTCTTCAGCAGTTTTCGTATCTTGCCGAGCCAGTGCATAGAGAGCACCAAGAACACCAGCACTAAAAATGCCAAGACCATTTAAGAGAGACAGAAGTGGGTTTGGGGATGTTCCTTCACTTACTGCAACCTATTAACCAAAGCAATACTGATTTAGTTTAAACGCTTATAGCACTTAAAAAAACATATTGTTTCTCAAAAAATGGATGCAAGGAGGTTTCAGAATTCAACTTAGAAGATCTAAGAGAGTTTTAAAAAACCTCAGTTCCTTGGTTAAGCTTTGATGTCTTTATCTCATTGTCGTCTCCTGAGATTAGAAAAAAAAAATGAACAATTGATGGCAGTAATGATTAATGAAAGACAGCAATAAGCAAATTTGAGCATTCTCATACACTATGTAGACATTAAGAGAGTAATCACGAAATTAAAAAGGAAGAAGAAGAATAAAAGAACTAACTTTCATCCGCCATAGCCGGCGATCGACATTGCAAAAACGGAAGAACGGAGATACCCACAAGAACAAAAGCTCTCCTATCAACGGAAGCAGAGTCTTCGTTTGCATCTTGGCGGCGTAGAGAAGCCGATGGTGGTCGGCGACGCTTGAACTTGGCGGCATTGCTGGAGCAGAGAAGCACGAACTGCGACGGAGAAGAAGAAGAAGAAGAAGAAGAAGAAGGAGATGGGAGGAATCGAGAGTGGAGAGGAGTAGATGGGGCGAAGCAAGAGCCTCCAATCAGGAAACCCATCTCTTCGCCGTGAATTATTTGGAGATTGGAAATGTGTGGCAAATGGCAAATCCTAAAATCACCCAAGGAAAAAAAAGAGGAGCTTTTTTTGTCAGCTAAAAAGAGCTTCCTTTGTGTTGTGTACTGTATGTGACCTCGGCAAAATCCCAAAGAAGAAAAAGAAAAATGTTATGCTAAGAAATTCAGAATTATTTCCTTCGATCTCAAGTAAACAAATAGGATCTATTCATCGTAAATTCCTAAAAACAATGTTGGAAAAACGAAATTGGGAAATCAAAGATCGAACATTTTCATTTGGAGGCAATGGCAATTTCTGCAATTTTCGAGTAGTTCGGTGATTTGTGATGATATTAACCAATGAAAACTAGCCACCTAAAGGCTTTACCGCCTCGTCATCCTCTCTTTATCTTTAAGAAAACACGTGATGCTCACGTGCGTCTTCTTCAACTTCAAGTCTCTGACCCTAATGATTTTTTTGTCTGAAAGCTAAAACCACCGACGGCGACTTGAAATCCCGATCTTTGGACGCCGGAAGTAGCCGCCACCGGATGAATAAAATTCGTGAAACTGTTGCATATAAAACCCGTTTATGAAGATGGTTTTTATATCGGCTCGATCCATTTTCGTGAAGCGACGCGTCTCAACTCTACCTCACCTCTCTCAGAGATTTAAACAAACAGGTAATCAGCACACTTTGTTCCTCTTACTCTTGTTCGCCGATAAGTAAATCGCCTTGTCGAGATTCATGGTTTTTGACCCAAAGTCTTAATTTTTATCCATGTGTGTTTCTGAAATTAGCAGAAAATGAGATTGTTCAGATGTTTAGTATTCCGAATCCTGAGGAATCTGAGAAGCCGCAAGAGAAATGGAAATTATCTAGAAGAGATCCGTCAGTGCGGATGTTGGATGAGAGATTCATAAGGATACTGAAAATCTTCAAATGGGGACCTGATGCTGAGAAAGCTTTGGAGGTGCTTAAACTGAGAGTTGATCATCGACTAGTTCGTTCGATTCTTGAGATAGACGTTGAGATTAATGTCAAGATTCAGTTTTTCAAGTGGGCTGGTAAAAGAAGAAACTTTCAACACGATTCCTCCACTTACATGTCCTTGATACGTTGCCTAGAAGAAGCTAGGCTTTATGGTGAAATGTATAGAACGATACAAGAGGTGGTCCGTAACACATATGTTAGCGTCAGCCCATCGGTACTCTCTGAGCTTGTGAAAGCATTGGGGCGAGCTAAGATGGTGAGCAAAGCTTTGTCGGTTTTTTACCAAGCCAAAGGACGCAAGTGCAAACCAACGTCGAGCACTTACAACTCAGTTATTCTGATGTTGATGCAAGAAAGACAGCACGAGAAAGTCCATGAGGTTTACACTGAGATGTGTAACGAAGGTGATTGTTTCCCGGACACGATTACTTACTCTGCGCTTATATCCTCGTATGGTAAATTAAGTCGTGATGAGTCTGCGATTAGCTTGTTTGATGAGATGAGGGATAACGGTTTGCAGCCTACCGAGAAGATATACACTACGTTGCTGGGAATATACTTTAAAGTGGGTAAAGTTGAGAAAGCTTTAGATCTTTTCGAGGAGATGAAAAGAGCAGGTTGCTCGCCGACTGTTTATACTTACACAGAAATGATAAAGGGACTTGGTAAAGCAGGGAGGGTAGAAGAAGCATATGGTTTATATAAGGACATTCTTAGAGATGGATTGACTCCTGATGTTGTGTTCTTAAACAATCTGATGAACATTTTAGGCAAAGTGGGTCGAGTGGAGGAACTGACTAATGTCTTCAGCGAGATGGGAAGGTGGAGATGTACACCAACTGTTATTTCATACAATACCGTGATCAAAGCTCTGTTTGATTCTAAAGCATCTGTTTCGGAAGTGAGTTCTTGGTTTGATAAGATGAAGGCAGACGGTGTTTCTCCTAGTGAGTTCACTTACTCGATCCTTATAGATGGTTACTGTAAAACAAACAGAGTGGAGAAAGCTCTGTTGCTTCTTGAAGAGATGGATGAGAAAGGCTTTCCACCTTGTCCTGCAGCGTATTGCAGCCTCATAAACGCTCTTGGAAAGGCGAAAAGAAATGAAGCAGCGAATGAGCTGTTTAAAGAGCTAAAAGAGAATTACGGGAATGTAAGTTCTCGAGTATACGCCGTGATGATCAAACAGTTGGGGAAATGTGGGAAGCTAAGTGAAGCTGTAGATCTCTTCAATGAGATGAAGAGCCAAGGAAGCGGTCCTGATGTTTATGCTTACAACGCGCTCATGTCAGGAATGGTGAAAGCTGGTATGATAAACGAAGCTAACTCGTTGCTTAGGAAGATGGAAGAAAACGGTTGCAGGGCGGATTTAAACACGCATAATATCATCCTCAATGGGTTTGCAAGAACAGGTGTGCCAAAGCGGGCTATAGATATGTTTCAAAATATGAAGCTTTCTGGTATGAAGCCTGATGGTGTCACTTACAATACTCTTCTTGGATGTTTTGCACATGCTGGAATGTTTGAAGAAGCTGCAAGAATGATGAAAGAGATGAAAGATAAAGGCTTTGTGTATGATGCAATCACTTATTCATCGATACTTGATGCTGTTGGCAATGTGGATCATGTTAAAGATGTTTCATCTTTGTAACCCAAATAAAACTCAAGTAGAAGTTGCAAAAAAATTACTACTCTGTTCCATCATATGAAAACCATTTTAAAACACCGAGAAACCAACAAAGTAGAAGAATTTGCCACAACAGATTCAACTAACCAAAATATGCTGGAGCAAATGTAAAACCTTTGAGCTCTCTAAATCTAAACTCAACAGGGTTTAGGCCTGCAGGAACATACTTCAGTATCTCCGGGCAAGTAACGAGTCACTGTCTGGAACGATTTTTTCTGGTTACCATCTGAAGGGTCATTGGCTTCAAATGTCATGTAGATGGTGACTGCAGCAGATGGATGATAATTTGCTCTTGACACCTGAACAAATTCCAAGCTTGTGCCCTACCACCTCCATAAAGAACCAACCAATATGAGAATCCGTAAGTAAATCACTAAACAATGAACAAAAAACGTATGTACAAACCATGTTTTCTTTGTAGTAGGAGATAGCCATCTCGGACAATCTGTTGAGCAAAGCTCTGTTTGTGTCAGGCTCTGCAACCAGGGTACTGCTGTCGAGATCCGCAGCTCCGGCACCGAATGTGTGACGGAGTTTCGTGAAGTCCACATCAAAACCCTGAAACAATAAAGAGAAGAATCATTCATCATAAATCAAATAGATTGTTTGATTAATCAACAAAGAGAGAAAGAAGATCGAGATCCCCTAACATCTCCCCACTCTTCATCAAAGAGTCGAAGGTCCTCTGACAAATTATCCCACTCATCATCATCAGAATCAAATTCTTCCTCGCTGCACTCATCATCATCAGAATCAAATTCTTCCTCGCTGCACTCATCATCATCAGAATCAACTTCTTCCTCGCTGCACTCATCATCATCAGAATCATCTTCTTCCTCGCTGCTTGGCGGCTCCTCTAGTTTCGGACTTTTAGGGGACGGAGGCTTCGGTCCCTCACTCTCATTCGCTGAACTCATCGCTGAATCGATATGGAGATGACGAACAAACCCTAGGATTTGAGAAAGTCTCCCTTTTTACCCACGTTTGTTTTTTTTTTTTTAATCGGTCCATTAAAGTGATCTATCAATAATATTATGCTGCAGTAACATTTTTTTAATGCATGTAAATATTTGTTAAATTAAATACTATCCTTGGAAATGAATCGATAGTCTAACAGTCTCTTTCTCTTCTTCGTTAGGACATTCACCTTGGTTACTTGAAAGTCACGGTACATTCACCGACTTGTAATAAAAAACGCAATTTTCATTGTCATGCGATTTCCTTTTTCTTTGATACTAGGCTCTGTTTCTTACTCTCTTACGACTTCTCTATGCCTCTCGTCTCTTTCTATTATGTATTAGGTCTTCGTCTTCGATTTCTTGTTACTAAAGGTAACGATACTGGGCTCTGTTTTTCAGGTTCGGGCCAGCAGCTATCACCAACTGATCTTCCGATTTGGGTCTGAAGAAGAAGAAAGTGACATATCGAGCACTTACAACTCTCATTATTTAAACAGAGTGAAATGAAAAAAGGTTTAGCCTTGGCAACCGATTACTTCTCTGATGCAAAACAAGCTCGGTGAAGGAGGTTTTGGTCTTATATATAAGGTACGACATATTCTGATATTAACTTAAAGCAGATTTTGATGTTTCCGCTACTTTCTTGAAGATGGGGAAGAAGTGGCTATCAAGAGACTAGAGCTACGATCACGGTAATGGAAGCAATGTGAGCTAGTGAACTTAAAACAAAAAAAAAAAAAGATCGTATGTGAAAGCTCATTGTTTATGTATGTGGATTTAACATGTAACCTTATTTGATACCAAAGTATTTTGAATGAGTCAGAATGATGAATATCGAGTCAAAGTAGGGTATTACGAATAATGTCGTTGACTTGGCCCTCCCACACGTTTGTTACCCCTAATTTAAGACAAACGATCTATTTTGAGTGTGTTGATTTGATTACATATTTAAATAATTAAATGTTAACAACAAAAGCTAAATTTTTGCACGTAAAGTAAACCATTTTTTTTTTTTTTATTGATCATTTGAATCATGAGATTTACTATTTTATGTAAGGTGGTTTCTTGCGTTCTCATATTCATCGTTCTAATTAGCCATGTTAAAGGTAATTAATAGATATACCATTCGTAATTTTGAATTTGATTGGTTATACAGAGAATATGAAAACATTGACTGTTACTTTATCGATTGTTTACCTAGAAGAAAAAAAAAAAAAGATTACGTACTAATCTACAAATAATTAATAAACAACATTGTATTGATGTAAAACACCACAATATTAGAGGTAGAAGGAAGGGCGTGTCAATTTGGATTGAGGTTCCCTGGGAAATGCGGAGCTGATGGAAACAAAACTTGCATGAACGAATTTCAGAAGGTTGTTCCTCGTTGTGACTGTCTTGACCAGAAAAGGGGAGGTGTCGACCACCATTTCTGCACATGTTTCCTTCGTCAGCCTTGCTAATCATGTTTTTATTATAAATTAATTTCAAGTTAAAAATCTTTAACTACATAAGATAGAAGCAACGAGAGTTTTTGGTGCGCACATAACAGACGAAAATGTTGTGCCACTGTAATGTTTTATTCCAGACCAATTACTTATTTTTTTTATTGTTTTCTACTGAAAATCATTAGATTTATTACTTAAAATGTAATATGCAAATCTTATAAATTTTCTTTTTATGCGTTTTAAGCGTTCCAGGTCATTTATATGATTAGATTAGGTGATAACTAAACTTGAGATGCATGTGTTATACTTATATCATATATTCAGTGCACTCTATATATGGTATTTACCTAACTTATTATTTTGTAAATCCTTGATAAAGTTAATATTTCACTCGACGATCTCTGCATGATTATATCTGGTAAGTGGTAACAATAAATACTGTATAAACCAATAGCATTCGGTTACACCTCTTTCCAGTAGCATGGAACTCTTGGTAACCAACGATTACCAAAAACAAATTACAAGAGTAAACAAAATACAGATTAGAGGAAGTTCGGGATAATATGTAAATTATGTATGTCATAATTGGCTTGTTGTTCAAATTCTAAGCCAAAAAAAAACGCATGAATCAAATTTCAATCTTTTTTTTTTTGGCAAACATATATATATATATATATATATATATATATATATATAAGTTCTCTATGGACTATGATTGATTCTCTTATGGTGATTTTCTATCTGGTCAATCGACTATCATGAATATTGTCTTCGGAGAAGGATACGAGACTAAATCTACCTCCTTACATTAGTCTTTGCTCAGTTATATCATTATCCTAAGAAAATTAATTAGTCTTCATTAGAAAGCTAAGACTAGTATGCTAACTTTACGTAGATCCTTATTTAGGCGTCATTTAGATATAGATAAAAGTTATTTAAATAGAGTTAGTTCATCATGATTCATGACATATATGTATTTTTTTGCTAAAAGGCTTAGTTCATTGACATATTGCGGTCAAGCTTCCATGCATCTTCTTATAGATCTAGAGTTAAGTTATCAGACTTAAGCATAGCTATGATAATAATAAAATGTAAATTAAAGATCCAATTGCAAGACATGTGAATAAATTGATGTTAGTTAAAATAAATCTCCAAAGAGGTTTATAATCCATAGATATATAAAACCCCTTCTTTCAACAAAAATAATGTATATATAGTACCATAAATCATCACAATAATAGAAGAAAATTAAGATCATGAATAAGAGAGAAGAGAAGGAGGGAACAAAATTAAAATCAAAACGAGATTTCTTCTCTCGGACATGAGATGAGATCTATGGCTCTCTCTTTGATATTCAACTCCATGCTATGCTAGTAGAAAACACGTAATTATATAGTTTTCTACAATACACGTAAATCCATCATTGGTAAATTATTGAGCACTGGAGCTGGAAAATGTATCGGTGAATAGAGTTACCATCATGGTGGTGGAAGCAAGATGAGCTAGTAAATTTCATTGTCACTTGGATAGTTGGATTTTTTTAGATTGAGTTTTGATGATTTGTGACTTGTGAGTCTATCCATTCCGACCTTACCTCATTATATAAAGGTTTAGGAAGATTTGTCACCACTCCGACAAATCTTTTAGATAATATTTTCTCTACGAATCAATCATTGGATTAATAGTTTTCATTTTCGTAGAATATTCTAAATATAAATCGCAATAGATATCTGATATATTCTAAAATATATGAAAGTAAAAATGTATTTATTCGAGCTCAGATTTAGCGACCACTCAATAGGCCGGATTTTCCTAGCAACAATTTCCATCAAGATTGTGATGTCAAATTCCTAATGCATATCAAACAGCATATCATCTTGGAACGCGATGCACTTTTACATCGTTTTCTAGTTTTGTCACTTGCTTAATATTCGTTGGGTTTTTTCACTCTGTGTTATATTCGTTGGGTGTGTGTGGCTATTTTTATTGTGGAGAAAAATAAAAAAAGAAGAAGCGGTTTTCCATATTTCGAATTCGAATACAAATTAGACTTTCCACGTGGACGCTTGTGTGGCACGGAGTGATCACGATTCACGCGGGATTCACATAGGACTATATATATATATAAATGATCGCAGAACAAGAACCAACTATCTAAACTCGAAGAAACAGATTATATTATTGTTGTGTTTTGGGGGCTTAGGGAACTTATATTTGTTTTCTCTTCGAGTTTCAGGTCTAACCCTTACCCTAACAATTCAGCCATGTCTTCCAAGCAAGGTTACTATTTTCCTCCTGCCCTCAAGTACTCTGTTAATTATCCCCAAGAAAGATTATTGATGTCAGGATTTTAGGCGTAGAGAAACCTCGTTTCGAATCAATCATTTTGATCTATCTTGCTTCACAATTTTTGTTTTTTTTTTGTTGACATGTGCTTGCTTTCTGGTTTGATCTCATGGGTTCATTGATCAACCTGCTGGTCCATTAATCTCGTGTGCTATTAACGCATCATTGAAATTCAAAAAAAAAAAAAAAAAATCGTGTCTTTTGATTTGACGTGGTTCTTGTAAAACATTTTGAAAAATCCAACCTTTAATGTGATGTGATTCTTGGTTGATCGGTTTCTCTTTCTGGTGTTTCAGGAGGGAAATTGAAGCCCTTGAAGCAGCCCAAGTCTGGTAAGAAGGAATATGATGAGGTATGATCTTTCTTCAACTCGCTTATTGCCCCTTTTATCTTGGCAATTTTTGGTCGGTTTATGTGTTTTGTGCATGTGTTTTGCCTGCAAAGTTTATGTATCTGGGATCTGAGCTATGATCATAAACATCAGCTCCTAATCCTGTATCCGAATCTTTAGGTCAATTGCTGTCTTGAATACTGGTCTTGAATTATGACTTCAACTTGTGCGTATTTCATTAGCTCAACGTTTACTTTGTTCCGAATGCAGCATGACATGGAGTTACTGCAGAAAAAGAAGGAAGAAGAAAAGGTAAGATTTGTTTTCTTTTCTTCTTCTTCTTCTAATCCTAATCATGATTCATTTTACAATTTTAAAGAAGAATTGGTTGCTGATTATGTTGTTTTTCTGATGAGAACAGGCACTTAAAGAACTTAGGACCAAGGCATCACAAAAGGGATCATTTGGAGGCGCAGGGCTTAAGAAAAGTGGGAAGAAATAAGAGAGCAATCTCCTCAATGTAAAAAATTCTCAAATCTCCCTTCTTGTTGGGAATTCATATTTCAGAAAACTTATATATATGCTCGTGGTTGTAACCATTAACATCATGTTGCAAAGCTTCGATTAAACAACAAGAGAAAGAAGCCCATTTGCACCAGCACAACAGATGTTAGTTAGAAAGCCGATTACACACCACCATTAACAACAAAAGATGAGACATTTAGAAAGAAACCAAAAAAAGATTACAACTTTTCAAGTCCAAAATGTTTTGCAAATGTAACCTCCATCAAGCACTTCCTTGGCCAAAATCTTGAATCCTGTCACCATGAACGCTCAAGCTTTCCATTGCTCTACTAATCTCCAGCCCAGAACTCATCTCAGCCAACACATGAGGATCGTTGTAATGCTGAACAGCTTGAACAATTCCCCTTACTTTCTTGAACGGATCCGGACCATCGAAAACCTCTGCACCAACGAAAACTCCATCGCAACCTAGCTGCATCATCAAGGCTGCATCAGCCGGAGTCGTGATCCCACCCGATGCGAACTGCACCACCGGAACCCTTCCCATCTGCTTCGTCTGAGCCACCAGATCATACGGTGCTGATATCTTCTTAGCGAACGTGAACACCTCGTCGTCGTCCATGTTGCTCAGGACTCTAACATCACCCATCAATGACCTAACGTTCCTCACAGTCTCCAAAATGTTCCCTTTCCCGGTGAGCTCTCCTTGGATCCTGATCATCGCCGCACCTTCTCTGATTCGCCTCAAGGCCTCTCCTGTGTCTCGGCAGCCACATATGAACGGAGATCGGAAATTATGTTTGTTGATGAAGTTTTCTTCGTCAGCGACGGAGATGACCTCGCTCTCGTCAATGTAATCGACGGCCAGAGATTCCAAGATCTGAGCCTCCACGAAATGACCGACGCGAGCGCGTGCCATCACCGGAACAGACACCGCTCGCTTCACCTCTTTGACGAGTACCGGATCCGGCATCCGACGGACGCCAGCGAGCGATCGAACTGGATCTGAGACGATTACAGAGCATGCGCCGGCGGATTCAGCGATCTTAGCTTGGTTTACAGAAGTGACTTCGACAATGGCGCCGCCGCGGAGTACCTGAGCTAATCCAACTTTGACGGAGAAGGGATGGTTTTTCTTCGCGGCGTCGGTGATCGCGGATCCGCTGTAGACAGTAACGGCGCCTTGATCTTGGTCCGCCATTGTTGGATTGTAGAATGGTTATCACAATGGATGATCTGATTTGGAAATGGCGAAGAGAATGAGAAGCAACGTTGAAAGTGAGGAGAAATATAGAGAAATGGAGAAGAAGGAAGAGTGTGGTTTGGTCGAGAAGCTTCCGAAAATGTCAAAATAAGGTCGTCTCTGAGAATCAATTAGGTCGCCGATCAGAGAAAGAATCGAGAGTTCTTCACTAACGACGACGTCGTATTGTCCAAGTAAGAGAAACAAAGTGGGCCTCCACGAAACGAAGACCCAAAGTAATTGGGGCTTTTATTAAGAGCCGTTCGATATGAAGGAAACAGGTGGCATCATCTTGTGTGATTCTCGCTTCCTCAGATATTTTGTTGAAAAGGGACACGAGTCAAAGAAGAAAGCACGAAATTTACGAAATAAAGGGGGCGCCAAAATCAATCCAACAATTGTCTTACTTAGTGGCCCACCACATGTGGGGTTTCTGTTTTAAATGACAATTGCCACGACCTAGACGGCGTCGTTTTAGTGCTCCTCACGAGCTTCAAGTTGTGTGTTGTTGGTTCAATCAAATTTTTAATTTCTTTTTTCCAGGTTTCAATCAATTATAATCGAGAACGTGAATTTTACTCTTTCCGTCGATTTTACTCTCTCCCTGCTACACACCACTACCAAAGTTCTAAAGTTGTTTTTTGGGGTTTAATAAAGTTCTAAAGTAAATGTAAAGTTCTTACAATCTAATAAGATGAGACAAAAACAGTCGGCAAGATAAAAAAAATGAAACAAAATCTAAAATTTCTAGCTGTTGTTTTTATATAAATCCTCATCATTCTAAATGTACAGTAGAAAAGGATGCATCTTAAATTATATGGTACTTGAATTTCATTATTTAGAATTTGATTATCCGATCATAATTCAACTAGGCAGAGTTTTATGACATCATAAACTAATTGTCAATCTATTTTACGAATTTAAAGTTAAAACATTTTCAATCCAAACTATTTGGTTACCAACGTGTTTAGTTCTAGTTTAATCTTCATCAGTCATCACTTGTCACTAAAGATGTAAAGCAAAAATAAAAGGAAGAATAAAATGTTTATATATTTGAATATGATTTTTCAAATTTTGATAGTCCAATCCAATCCATTTCTCTTAAATTATTAATATTATAGGTATTTATCAGAAAACAACTCTATATAATTTACCTGGTAGTAATAAGAAATGTAATGCAATCTAAAATCCCATAAAAATAATGTTATGTAAACATTAGAATTGGTCCACAAATCTCATTTTATATTAGATGAATTGAAATCGACATTTATACAAAATTAAGGGAGCGTTTGAAAGAGAGAGAGAAACAGCGACCAATACTCTCTTCTCTGCGCTTTAATTTGAACTTGTGGAGAGAGAGAGAGAGATAAAGGGTTTAGATAGATAGAGAGAAGGAGGAGACGAAGAAAGAGAAAAGAGAGAACAAAGTGTGGTTTAGAGATCCGATTAAAGGATCCGATTCGAGCTCCGATTCGAGCTAGAGAAGAACTCAGATTCCGGCATTCAAGTAGACGATGAGCGGGAGACAGAGATCTGGCGCAGCGGCGGTGCACCACCAGAGGCAGCTCTCCGATAACCTCCTCGACATGTCCTCCTCCAATGGCAGATGGCTCCAATCCAATGGTCTCCAGCACTTCCAGTCATCCGCCAATGTAATCCCTGGAATCTGATCCTTTTCTTCTCCATCTTACATTTCATCGAGGATAGAGAAAATGTTTAAAATTTTTGAATTTTAGTCGAGGAGATTTCTGGATCTTTTCCTTGGGTGGATTGATTATTCCGATCTGGTGTTTGATTGCTCGGAGAAGTTGTCTGTGTTAAACCCGAGTTTAGTGTATTCGATATTTTTTAAGCTAATGGTGAGACTACAAGCAGGATTACGGATACTATGCTGGTGGTGGACAAGGCGGTGGGCAAGCAACAAGAGGATACCAGAATGCTCAGAGAGGGTTTAATGGAGGGAACGACTTCTTTGGTGAACCCACTACTCCTCAATACGGTGCTCGTCCATCGAGCCAAAGAAAGAACACTGATGAATCTGAGTTTAGTCCCGGGCTCTTAGATCTGCATTCTTTTGATACTGAGCTCCTTCCTGAGGTACCTATTAAATGTGCTTCTTTTCAAACTTTTAGTGCCTTCTTGATTGCCATTTACATACTCGCGCTACAGAGGCAAAACTGCAATTCAAGTTTTCTTTTTTCCGTACCATAAAGTAGATTGATTGCTGTAAGAGTGGACTCCTTAGTCCTTACAAAGCACTTTTAAGTCATCAGACTATTTTTAGTTGAAGAAGTTTTGATTTTTTGTCATGGGTATTTTTCTCCTACCAATTTGGTGCACATAAATCAAAACATTTGATAGAATCATATGACGACATCTGGTTATTTGACTCTCTGTTTAACATAAGATAAATATGTGGATTTTATTGCGTTTGCCGTTATGTTCCTGTGGTAGGTTCTTAACTTATTATCTTATCAGCAGATTCCAGTCTCTAGCCATTTAGATGGCCCCTCAATGTTCAATCCTAGCCAAGGCCAAAGCTTTGATGACTTTGAGGCTTACAACAAGCAGCCTAACCGTAGTCGCGTGTTAGCTGAAAACTTGGCTGCTGAGAAGGAAAGGATGAATGCTGTTGCAAAGATCAAAGTTGTTGTACGTTTTCTTCCTTTTTCTTCTGTCCTCATCACAGATCACTTGATTTACCCCTTGGATTATGTGATATCTCTGCCTTTTGCGTTGTGAGTACTAAATATTTTCCTCAGCATGACATGATGTTCCCTGATTGTTTGAGAACAGGTGCGTAAGAGACCACTTAACAAAAAGGAGTCGACGAAAAATGAGGAAGACATAGTTGACACCCACTCCAATGGCTTAACAGTTCATGAAACTAAACTTAAGGTCAGTTTCTGATGGTGCGGGTTCATGCAGTCATAATTTTCTTAGTCATCACTGTAGCAAGACACTACGACTGATCTATAACTAAACTATTGCAGGTTGACTTAACTGCCTATGTTGAAAAGCATGAATTTGTGTTTGATGCTGTGCTAGATGAGGAAGTATCAAATGATGAGGTAAATTCTGTTTTAAAGTACACAGGATCGACTTTTACGCTGGAGGAAGCCTTATTTTACAAATAACTAGTCACTGTTGCGGCGCTTGTTTCTCAAGTTATTATGCCACTCTCTGTAGGTTTATCGTGAGACAGTGGAGCCTGTTGTCCCCTTAATTTTTCAGCGCATCAAAGCCACTTGCTTTGCATATGGGCAGACAGGTAAACAGTCTCCGAAGGAATCATAGATACACAAGGTCACTTTCCAGAAAATCTGACAAGATAACAGCAAGAGCTTAGATCATTACAAATTCATGTAGTATTTGGCATGTCGTCTTACTCGTTCCTAAACCGTGCATATAAATAGTCTTTTTCAATCTATTTGAGAAATTGGTATGAGTCTGATAGGTGATAATCAACATCCACATATCAGAAACAACTAATATTCTGCTTTACATTAGCCAATTTTCTAGAATTGTATAAATTCAAATGTGAACCATCTTTGGTTTATGTATGCCTCTCAGGTAGTGGTAAAACCTATACTATGAAGCCTTTGCCTCTTAAGGCTTCAAGGGATATCCTGAGGTTGATGCACCACACATACAGAAACCAAGGGTTTCAGTTATTTGTCAGCTTCTTTGAAATCTATGGAGGAAAGCTTTATGATCTTCTCAGTGAGAGGAAGTAAGTTGAAAAGCATATCGTGCTGTTATCTTATCTGACTGCAATGCTTATGTATGTATCTGAAAGTCAAATTTTTTTTTAATTTATAGGAAGCTGTGCATGAGAGAGGATGGTAAGCAGCAAGTGTGCATTGTTGGTTTACAAGAGTACAGAGTATCTGATACAGATGCGATTATGGAACTTATCGAGAGAGGTAGTGCAACAAGAAGCACTGGAACCACTGGTGCAAATGAAGAATCCTCTCGCTCACATGCTATACTTCAGCTCGCTATAAAAAAATCAGCAGAGGGAAATCAGTCAAAGCCCCCTCGCCTCGTTGGCAAACTTTCTTTCATTGATCTTGCTGGAAGTGAACGTGGTGCAGACACAACAGACAATGACAAGCAGACAAGGTAGCACTTTACACTATCTCTGTTCCGGGGCACTGATTACTCTTTAAATTGTTCAGTGTGGATATTGTTTCTGGCTATTTGCTTCGATATTTATCAAAATCAAATATGGCACAGATTGGAAGGAGCAGAGATCAATAAGAGCTTACTCGCCTTAAAGGAGTGTATTCGAGCTCTGGATAATGATCAAGGTCACATCCCTTTCAGAGGCAGTAAGTTGACTGAAGTTCTCAGGGACTCGTTCATGGGAAATTCTCGTACTGTAATGATTTCTTGCATATCTCCAAGCTCTGGATCATGTGAGCACACCCTTAACACCTTAAGATATGCGGACAGGTTGGTTTTTACTCGCTCGCTGTTAACTTTTTGTTCTTTTTTTGTCATATGTGCGTCCCATAAACTTATCTATAAACTATGAGAATTGTAGGGTTAAGAGTCTCTCGAAAGGAAACGGGTCTAAGAAAGATGTATCGTCTTCAACCGTAAACCTAAGGGAGTCCACAAAAGTTCCTTTGTCTTCCACACTTCCGACTCCATCTAACTATGATGACGACGTGAATGAGATGTGGACGGAAGAAAACGATGACTTTGATGCATCGGATTACGAGCAAGAGAAACAAATGTGGAAGAAAAACGGGAAGTTAGAGCCATCCTATAATGGTCAGGCACAGGCACAGGAGAGAATCCCAAAACCTTCTATGCCGATGAAGTCAAGAGACATGCCAAGGCCCGATATGAAGAAGTCAAACTCCGATGACAATCTAAATGCGCTTCTGCAGGTAACATATTCTCCTTAAGAAAAAGGAAAAAAATAGTTATCTGTTTTTATCAGCCTTGACGCAAGAATCATTGCTCATGCATATTTTCCAGGAAGAAGAAGACCTTGTGAATGCCCACCGTAAACAAGTTGAGGATACCATGAACATAGTGAAAGAGGTATTAATTTGGATAGTTTTGGTAAGCCTAGTGTTGCGTTCTATTTTTGAATGTCTCTAATCACCTTAAACTCACATGCGCAGGAGATGAATTTGCTGGTCGAAGCAGACCAACCCGGAAACCAGCTAGATGGTTATATTTCAAGACTGAACACAATTCTGTCTCAGAAGGCTGCAGGTATACTCCAACTGCAGACACGTCTTGCTCATTTCCAGAAACGCCTTAGGGAGCACAATGTATTGGTGTCTACCACTGGCTATTGACTGCTCCCAGTCCCGGCTCTAACCCATGGCGAGAGGAGCGACCGCCGTGGATCCAGCGCCCAGTTTTTTAATTGTTTTTGTATGTTTTAAAATTTGATATAAAAAAGCCCCATGATATATTATCCTTTTTTTTTTATACAGCAAGCCCTTGATATAATATCTTATCTTATATATATAACTAAGTAAGACCCTTATCTAGTATCTATGTGATTAACAAAATGAGCTCATAATCTAAACTTACTTTACATTCTAAAATTTCACATATTTGCAGTTTATTTTATTTTTATTAATCAATACTATAAATCTATGATAATATTAGAATCTCATCATATGAGTTGACATATCAGATTTGTATGTTTGTAAAAGGTGACACATTATCAAAAATATTAAATATGAAAAAACAGTAAAAGCAAAATATTGATACACATCGACTTTTTTTTAGCACATCGTAATTTTCCACAGGCAAACCAGTATTCCTCAGTCCATAAGATTCTTCATGGTTTCATCTATATATTAATTTTTTTCTCCACATTCTATTAGTGTCATTGATATATGCACTTCACAATTTTTTTCTCCTCTAAAACTGGATGGGATATATCAATGGCACTTATAGAATTTTTTCTCCTCATAGAATCTCGATAATCACTTTTGACTGCATAAATTTCATCTTGCAAATTTTAGAAAGATACAGAAATACATTTTGTAAGAGTCTTCTATATTAGTATGTCTTTTGTTACGTTTTCCTTCTCTTCCTTAGTAGCTTCATTTTGTTGTTGCTCAAGTATTGTTTTCTCATTGTGCATCGTTTCAAAGAAGTACACACAAGCATGATTCAAACATTCAAGAAGAAAGACTTGTAATAACCAAACAAATCAAGAATATTGAAAACAAAAATTATAATAGCACTAGATTGTTCGGATCAGGCGTAGAGATCACTGAAAAACTTGTCAACGATGTTGAGATACACAGGACTTCTAAGACGAGAATAGTAATGAAGTGCCTCTTCAACGTCAAGGGCTTGCTCTATATCTCCTGCCTCAATCGTATACATCTCCTTAATCTTCCTCTCCATTGTATCGCAGTCTTTTGATGAACGCGAAGAGCAAGCTTCTATTCTCTTCTCTTGATCTTGTTCTTGCTCTTTATTCTTCTGCTCCAACTTTAATGGAACTCCGATGCTGTTTTCGATATCAGACTCCCAGATGTTGAGGAAACTTGCGTAGATATTATCACCATCGAGAGAATTTGATCTGAAAAATGTGCATGAGAAGTGAGTTTTTGGTTTAGTGAGTTTCTTACCTGCACGGAGAATGATTGACTTGAGACTGTGAAGTGTTTTGTGGAAGATACTCTTTGTTTTATGAAACATCTCTCTTCACTGCGACTGATATGTTCTTGTCGGCAGATCAATGTTCTCTCACATATATAAATCATTTTGCAGTCATTGAAATCGAATTATATATTATTAATGTCCTAATGAGTTACTTTAGTTTCATAGTATTTGCGAATGTATCTTTAGTGTCTATTACTCAGCATCAGAAAAGGCTAAAGTGAAAATTTGTCTTGTCTTGGAATGTCACCTTTCTCTTTCTTTTTTTCATGTTTATATAATCGATTAAAGATCTTAAATTAAAGTTAATAAGAAAACCGAGATTGCCGTTGTGTACAATCATGTTTCATGAGTTTCACCATTCACCTAATTCCATTTTTTTCCTTTCTAACCATAATGACACCATGAATTCGGTTTTCATATTGTATGCAACGACTACGATTTTGACGTGTTCTTTTCCAATAAATGAATAATCTAGCTACCTCTCTTTTGAAATTATTGACGACGAAAGACAAACTTTTTACTTATACCTTTACATCAAAGATGAAATTATTGATTTTGTAACTTGGTCACCTCTCTTCGTTTTAGTAACGGGATTGTGATGGATGCACGAATTTAAATTGGCAGCCGAAGCTGTGCATTTCCTTTATTCATTGTATTATAAGGTATTAAACGTTATTCTTGGTTAAACATTAATTATTTCTGTACGAGTTCAATAAAGAGTAAAGGGAAGGAGAAAGAATTATGTACATATGTCCCCTCGGAAGTACTATTGGTGTTTGACAAATTGTTGTCTAAAAGCATGGTTTAGTATTCATTAAGATGCAAGCAAAGCTAAAGCTGCTCTTATTATTTGGACCTACCCACCAACGTTAATCTAAATTTTGATTTTACTCGATCTTGGCGTAACAATTTTTTAAAAATCTTTTTCCATATTTTTTCTCTATGTTAAGATGATTTGAAAGATTTTGGATTTGATGCTTGCTCTGTGTGTGATTGGCCTTGTAAACAAAGGGATTCTTTGATGGGCAACAGAAGTTTCGATGCATAGCCTGTTTATGTAATGTAAAGGCCCATGATTCAACATCAACACTAGAATCAAAAGTTTGGAAATTCCGTAAACTCTTAAGAGACAATCACGGATTCAACACTAAAATCAAAAGTTTGGAAATTCCGTAAACTCTTAAGATACATTCACGAATGTTAGGTGATCTGGATCATCATTTGCATTCTTACCTTGGCTTGCTTCGGTAAAGCTACCACCACGCTGAAGCCTTTCATTGTGCCAAGTCTTAGACCTAACCGTTTAACCTTGTTGGTCACTTGGCAGCACAAATTCCATTCTTATCTTGTAGTACGTAATTAATCAAACTAATCTGTAGTGTACCATATGTATATATGTTTCACATGCAGCAATCTGAGTCCTTTATAACTCAGCATAGGTTTTGAATGATGTTGATTTTCGCAGAAGCAGAAATAAATGTGGAAACCCTCAAATCAACTTCATCTGTATCATTTGCTTGAAGACATAAGAAAAATCGTCTGTGCCATATGATAAATCCTCAACCAGTTATTGATATTACGACTTAAAATGGTATAAATCCATTGTTCCTTAACGTATAACAAAGATGGATACAATTTCGTTAGTTTTAGTTTTTGGACCAATCTTGATACAAAAACTAATTGAATCAAGATTGGTCCAAAAATTAAAACTAACTAGATGAGTATATGATGCGAGTTTGGATGAGTAAAACTAAAACTAAAACTAAGTCCTAATACAAAATAACCAAAAGAAATCGCAAAACGGCAGCGTTTGGATGAGTATATGATGCGAGTTCCCAACACAGTCTCTCTATTCAAGTTTAACTTTTCACCTTTTCCTAAACGAATCTAGTCAAACGAAAATTTTCCTAAACCGAAAGGAATTTGGACAACCCTATTTCTAGGTTTGCTTATAAAAAGAGAGAGAGAGAGATTGCTTATCCGACATATCAGTTTGAGACGCTTAGAAAAGAACAGGAAAAAAACAAAGCTAGAGAGATTATTGGAATCGGACTCAGGCTTCGGAGAGACGTACGGGACGAGATCTACTCGATTGCGAAGGTATGTCATCTAGAAATCTGGAGATGAGAAGAGAGCTTCCCTTTGAATTAGTGGTGGAAATACTCGCTAGAATTCCTGTTAAGGACTTAGTGCGGTTTAGATGTGTCTGCAAAAGTTGGCGGTCGTTGATGCAAGATGAAAGGTTTTATAGAAAGCACATGACTCATGCCCGAACGAGGATTGTGGCGTTGCGTGATTTGGATACTCGTATTCCTATATGCCACTTTTCTTATGAACGTGGCAAGCTAGAGGCGATACTAGAAGCGCTTGACTTGAACATTGGAGATACAAGCTTACTTCTAAATTCTTTTGTGATTGGTCACTGCCATGGACTCTTTTGCTTAGATCTTCGAGATAATACTTTTGGTGTTTGGAACCCGGCATTGAGAGAGTTCAGAAGAATACAAACAAGGCATCTTAACTGGGCTGAGGTGGGTTTTGGCTATGACCACTCAACTCAAGATTACAAGACGTACCCGACTTTGAGGATAATATTTGTGCTCTAGAGCAGCCGCCTTCCAAATCCGGAACCAACACGACGATCTTGTAATCTTGAGTTGAGTGGTCATAGCCAAAACCCACCTCAGCCCAGTTAAGATGCCTTGTTTGTATTCTTCTGAACTCTCTCAATGCCGGGTTCCAAACACCAAAAGTATTATCTCGAAGATCTAAGCAAAAGAGTCCATGGCAGTGACCAATCACAAAAGAATTTAGAAGTAAGCTTGTATCTCCAATGTTCAAGTCAAGCGCTTCTAGTATCGCCTCTAGCTTGCCACGTTCATAAGAAAAGTGGCATATAGGAATACGAGTATCCAAATCACGCAACGCCACAATCCTCGTTCGGGCATGAGTCATGTGCTTTCTATAAAACCTTTCATCTTGCATCAACGACCGCCAACTTTTGCAGACACATCTAAACCGCACTAAGTCCTTAACAGGAATTCTAGCGAGTATTTCCACCACTAATTCAAAGGGAAGCTCTCTTCTCATCTCCAGATTTCTAGATGACATACCTTCGCAATCGAGTAGATCTCGTCCCGTACGTCTCTCCGAAGCCTGAGTCCGATTCCAATAATCTCTCTAGCTTTGTTTTTTTCCTGTTCTTTTCTAAGCGTCTCAAACTGATATGTCGGATAAGCAATCTCTCTCTCTCTCTTTTTATAAGCAAACCTAGAAATAGGGTTGTCCAAATTCCTTTCGGTTTAGGAAAATTTTCGTTTGACTAGATTCGTTTAGGAAAAAGTGAAAAGTTAAACTTGAATAGAGAGACTGTGTTGGGAACTCGCATCATATACTCATCCAAACGCTGCCGTTTTGCGATTTCTTTTGGTTATTTTGTATTAGGACTTAGTTTTAGTTTTAGTTTTACTCATCCAAACTCGCATCATATACTCATCTAGTTAGTTTTAATTTTTGGACCAATCTTGATTCAATTAGTTTTTGTATCAAGATTGGTCCAAAAACTAAAACTAACGAAATTGTATCCATCTTTGTTATACGTTAAGGAACAATGGATTTATACCATTTTAAGTCGTAATATCAATAACTGGTTGAGGATTTATCATATGGCACAGACGATTTTTCTTATGTCTTCAAAGCAAAATGATACAGATGAAGTTGATTTGAGGGTTTCCACATTTATTTCTGCTTCTGCGAAAATCAACATCATTCAAAACCTATGCTGAGTTATAAAGGACTCAGATTGCTGCATGTGAAACATATATACATATGGTACACTACAGATTAGTTTGATTAATTACGTACTACAAGATAAGAATGGAATTTGTGCTGCCAAGTGACCAACAAGGTTAAACGGTTAGGTCTAAGACTTGACACAATGAAAGGCTTCAGCGTGGTGGTAGCTTTACCGAAGCAAGCCAAGGTAAGAATGCAAATGATGATCCAGATCACCTAGATGCAAATATTATTTGTACAACATTCGTGAATGTCTCTTAAGAATTTCCGGAGGAGACGACCACCACGAAAGATATCGGGTCGGACAAATTTTCTCGACAAGGCTTCGTTTTCCTAGAGAAATTTTCTCGAACAAAAATTATACCATAATTCTTCAAGAAAAAAAAAACACCGGTCTACAGATTTTGAATTCAAGTCGGTCACTGGCAAATTTCGACCTTGCTAGAAAATAGTTTTTTGTCTTCAACTCCGTCTTGGGGGGAGCTGCCTATCTCTCCAAGGGTTCTTGTCTTCAACTCCGTCTTGGGCTTTCGTCTCCGAAACTCCCGACTCCATTATCGATAGGTCTTGGGCTTTCGTCCCCGAAACTCCCGACTCCATTAATCGCGAGATGACAGCCGCAGAATCCGATCATTCTCCTATATGCCTTGGGGCATTTTCTGGAGACGCCTATCTCTCTAACTGTTTTCGTATGTACCTGTTTTCTCAATTTTCATTTACAAAAAAGTTACAATAAAAGGTGATGTGATGAACAAAATATACTTTTCCAAAAGCGAAATAAGATTTTGTAAAACAATTTAAACTTAATTAATGGGCAACAGAAGTTTCGATGCATAGCCTAATGTAAAGGCCCATGATTCAACATCGACCCCCTAGAATCAAAAGTTTGGAAATTCACGAAGGTTGTGGAAATGATATTTGCTTCTATTAGCCACCTAAGTGATCTGAATTTTGTTTTCATTCAAATCGTTCCCTTGCATCATTTCAAGATTTCTAGGAGGTTTCGTTGTTTTGACTCCTCTAAATCTTGTATAAACAAATGATATTTTCTTCTTTATTTGTACATAAAGAAAAATTAAACACTTATCGACAATGTTGTTCTTGTTTTGTCTTAAACAAATTTGTTGGTATAGATACATTTGATGGTACTCGAAAACGCCTATGTTGTTTGCACAACACATGCACAATGAAAAATCAATTTGATAATCGCAATATTAGATATTTTTGTGTAGTAATAGTTTTTCAATCAACATATTTTTCAACTTGTGTGATAATTTAAAAAGATGGCTTGCAACTTTTTTAAATTATGTCAATATGGATTATTAACAAATGTCAATTTTTTACTTTCAGATTTTACAAAAACCAAGAGTGGTACACTATGACATTGTTGTCATGTTCTGCTTTCTAAGCGACTTTTCTCTAAGTGACTAGAGAATGGAGATATGCAGATATGCTGGAACTAACTTTGATGAAATTTTGTCAAAAATTTTGTTCTTTTACCAATTCATTTTTAACATTGATTAGGCAAGACATACGACTCTTAAGCTCACAAATGCTTTTCAAACTTTATATTTGTTCGGGGCAATAAACAAGAAAGGGGAGCTAACAAAAATGGGCAGAGAAAAATGGTTGAATTCCCCTTAGAGCAAATGCTTGCTAAGATGGTTCTCTCATCCGAAAAATATGGCAGTGTGGAGGATATTATTACCGTTGCTGCCACAATCAGCTTATCTATGGTGTTCCTACACATAGCATATGAGTCATGGCAGCAAAGTAATTTTTCTAATAAGTGGTGCCATGATAATAACGTTGAGCTTATTTTTCTTATTTCATTTATTATTATACAAATTTCAGCAGCAAAATATTTGTTCAATATACCTTGTAATTGACACATAATACACTGATTTCTCTTATGATCATCATCCTCATTCCCCAATATTTGCATCTGATGGGAAACAAAATAGAAAAAAAAACTAAAGTAACTGAAAATGCATATCATTAATATTCTAACAAAACACGTAAAAAGGGTGAAAGAAACAGTAATTGCGTAAATTCACTAAAAAACACCTATTAGAGAGAAAAACCTTCCTATTTTCCAATTCTCAAGATGATATTTGTGCTCTATATCATAATTTTTAAATAAAAAGAATTGATAGAAATAATAGATGCATCGAAACTAAATAACAAATAATCAAAAAGTGTTGAAAATTATTGTGGTTGATACTTTTCTGTATATATTTTTCGCAAATGAGAATCTGACATGTTTTCAACAAATTTGTATTAGGGGTAAACGAAATTACAATTGCAGTAAGGCCCATTTCCGTCAAAACATAAAAAGGCCCATATTTTCACGTCAACCCTAGAATCACCTTCGTATAAATAAGCTGTCACAAAAGTAAAGCTTCTTCCTAGGGCTTTCTGGCACGCAACTCGCTCCAATGGTGATCTCTCAATTCAATCTATCTACATCTCCACACTTTCTCTTGGAGTTATCGTCGAGAGAGCCATTTTTGATGTTGGTTGTGGACACTTTTGAGTATTGCAGGGGAAGGGAACAGGAAGTTTCGGTAAGAGGAGGAACAAGAGTCACACTCTCTGTGTGAGATGTGGTCGCCGTAGCTTCCACATCCAGAAGAGTCGCTGCTCCGCATGCGCCTACCCTGCCGCTCGCAAGAGGACCTGTAAGACTCCTGAAATTTTATTAAAAACTCTCACTTTGTGTTTCATTTTCTTCGTTTTATGTTGTTAGATTGCAGTTTAGTCTACACGTGGCTTGAAAATCTAGAAACTTTATGGAACTAAGATTAGCTTAGTGTGTCACATGAACGTGTGGAGCAAATGCAATGATCGTTCTGAAATAGAGGTGTAGCTCGATTGAATTGTAGTGTAGTTGGAATTATCACCTAAAATGTAGAAACTATATCTGTTCTCGTGTATCTGTAGCCAATTGATTTCTTGTGAAAGTGTAATAACCATTGGACTTTCGAGAATTGTATATGGACTTTGTTGTCTTCTTTCTCGATTCTGATATTCTTCTTATCTTTATAAATCCGTCTCTCTTTGGTTTATTTTAGATAACTGGAGTGTGAAGGCCATCAGAAGAAAGACTACCGGTACCGGGAGGATGCGATATCTCCGAAATGTTCCCCGCCGGTTCAAGACTGGATTCAGAGAAGGTTAGTGTTATCTTATTAATCGACTCTGATTGATTCCTTACAGTCGAAGTTGGTTTTTTTCTAAATGGCTTGATTTCTTTGTTTACTGTAGGTACTGAAGCCAAGCCAAGGAACAAGACAGCTGCTTCATCAGCCTAGAAAAAAAGCCATTTCGACTAATCGCAGGAGTAAAAAAGCTTAGCTGTTCGCTTTATCTAGTTCGAGATTACATCTGATACATCATCTTCTTGTGGTTTTTGTTTCAATTACGTTATTCGATTATAAAGTTTTGAACTTGCTTGAAATATCATCTTACTTTTGCAATTTCGTATTAGTCGTTCTTGGAACTCAACATCCACCATTTTGGAATTCCATATGTTTATGAGATAAAATTGTGTATAATCAAGCAACACTGCTATTAAAAAAAAAAAATAGCATGTCCCGATTGTGTAATAAGCAAGGACAGTCAAGGGTAAAATTGGAATTATATTCAATGAGCGGACAACTCAAAATCGGTCTATTTCCCATTCCTAATCGGAAAATACTAGAAACACCGCACGCCCTCTTGACGTTGGCTCTTTCCTCCTCCGCTTCATTGGGTTCCGTCGTCACTTTCTCTTTCTTCATCTCGCGACACTGATTTTGATTCGTTGACTTTTCACCTAAACCCGGTCTCTCTATCCCATTGACTTTCTCTACCTAGCGAACAATCTAATTCCCTAATTTCGCCACAGGTGAAAAGTTCTCTCTCCCTCTCTATGTTTGTCTCCGCAAAATCGAGTTTTTACGTCTTTGTTCTCAATTAGTGATTGGATCAATTTGGATTTTTTCTGTTCTATTTTGATCTCTTCGATTGATTCGCTTGTGGGATTGGATTGGATTTGAATCCACTCTTACAGTATAGGCATCTTTTGTTTTCGTTAACAGATCTATCGTGATATTGTGAAGACGCACATCAGAGGAGGAAGATGATTCGTCTGAGAACATACGCAGGCCTTAGCTTTCTAGCGACTTTGGCTGTGATTTATCATGCTTTCAGCAGTAGAGGCCAGTTTTACCCTGCGACGGTTTATCTATCGACCTCAAAGATCAGTTTGGTGCTGCTTCTCAATATGTGTTTGGTGCTTATGCTCAGTCTCTGGCACTTGGTGAAACTCGTCTTCTTGGGATCCCTTAGGGAAGCAGAGGTAGAGAGGCTGAATGA